CTGAATACGATTACGAAATAGTATATAAAAAGGGTACTCTTAATAAAAATTGCGACGCCTTATCTAGAATACAATTAAATTTAAATGAAACCGACAATCAGCCAGGTACTTCAAAAGCTCTACTCGACTATACAGATGATTTTAATAAGGACCTTGAAAATAACGACAATTCGGAATCATTAATAGCCGAAGTCGGAAATTTCGAGAATTTAGAAAATGATCAATTAGATGATAACGCTACCGTACATTCTAACCTAGAAAACCCTATAATAGGCATCCCTATTGTAGATTGTCCTGTAAATTTTGGAAAAAATCAAATTATTATTTCCGAAGTAAATTTTTCTCCAGCTCAACCTACAATAATAAAACTTTTCGAAAATAAGCAAAGAATACTTGTTCAATTTTCTAAAAATGATTTTGAAAATGAAGTTATTAAATTTCTTAAAGAATTTGTTGTGCCAAAAGTAAAATATCACTTATATTTTGAAGACCCGCTCTACGAAAAATTTAGTGTTGTAGTTCAGACATTTTTTAAAAATTCCTTAATGAATATGATCAAATGTTCGAAAAAATTAATAGATATCGATCCAAGCGATATCAGTGATATTATTCAAAATTATCACGAGGGAAAAACTAATCATAGAGGATTAGATGAGACCGAAACTCGAATAAAAAACCTTTATTATTGGCCTAACCAAAGAAAATCAATACAAACATATATTAACAAATGTGAAATTTGTCAGTTAACCAAATATGAGAGAAATCCAATTAAACCTACTTTTAATATTACTCCAACCGCTGTAAAACCATTTCAAATTTTACACATGGACAGCATAACTTTAGAAGGATCAAAATTTTTAACAATTATAGATTCTTTTTCTAAATATGGTCAATTGTACAAAATGAATTCTGCCGAAGGGCTAGAAACTGTAAATAACTTAATAAAATTTTTCACCCATCACTGTATCCCGGATGAGATAATTTCGGACAATGGTACGGAACTAAAAAATTCATTGGTAAAAGAACTTTTGGAATTACATAAAATTAAAATTCACTTTGTTACGTCACAGCATCCAGAATCTAATGGAATAGCTGAAAGGTTTCACTCTTCTATAATAGAACATCTTCGATTATTAAATAATCAAGATGAATATAAAAATGAACCCATAGAGCAAAAGGTAAATTATGCAATTTTAGCTTATAATAATTCGGTTCATTCAGTTACAAAACTAAAACCGTTTGAAATTATAACGGGCCATTTAGGCAACGATTCCCCTTTTAATATTGAAATTGAGCAAAAATTATTAAACGATTATATTTCAAAACATAAAGAAAAAATTAAACTTATTTATTCAAACATAAACGAAAAAATTCAAAATATGAAAGAAAAAGTTATAGAAAAAGCTAACAAAAATCGAGAAGAATTACCTAAAGATATACCTACTAGAGTATTTGTTCGTAATAAACAAAAACAAGGCAAGACAAAAAATAAGTATCAAGCCGAAAACATTAAAACAATAAATAAAAATAAAAAGACAGCCAAAATTATTCCTAGACACGGAAATACCGCTGAAGATATTCACCTATCTAATATTAAGAGACCTAGAAAAAAAACTTATGCTTCTACTTCAGATTCCTCGCCATTGGCCAAGGAATAGAAATCAAAAATATAACCCAAAATTTAGGATTACTCCCAATTAATTTAGGACCGGCAAAATCAACTTAAAATGCAATACTCTGTAAGTCTCGAAATTATTAACAATTTTAACACAACCATTCACGATATTCAGCAAAATGAAATAACTTTAAAAAAAAAAAAATAAAATAAAAATATTATTGAATTTCAAGTGAATTTCGAAAAGATTTGCTTAATCAGCTACTAATAATATATAATTCATTATTAAATACTATACAAGATATTGAAAATCCAATGACATCCTGCAAATTAAGAACGTTACATCCCAGTATTATAAAATCCAAAGAATTATTCATAGAACTTACGAAAATTTCAAATCACTATAAACTACCATTTGAACTTACATATGAAAATATTTTAGATTTTGAATCATTAATTAAAGATAGTTGTAAAATAACGGAAAATAATATTTAATACTTCTTATCAATTCCTATCAATTTCGAAAAACAATTTGAACTATATTATTTATCACCCATACCCACAAAATACGAGTCAGAATTTGTAACAATAATTCCTAATACAAAATTTCTTTTAAAATCAAATGATAATTTTATAAAGCCTCTAAATGATATTTGTACGTCTGGTAAAATATATCATATTCCAAGTGTTTGGACAGTCTATTCCTATAATAATAATTTTATCCATTTTATCTTAAAACGCCGAAAAACTATTTGTAAAGGAAATACCAAAAATCAAATCACTGAGGAAAATCCAGATGAAGCAAAAATGCGACTTCCGGAGTAAGCCAACTTCTAGCAGGGAGGTGTTATAGTGTACAGTGTCACGAAGCCGCCAAGAACATTAACCTTTGCTTCCCATAGATACAAGTGTCAGTTTGCTTGATAGACATTTTATAGTTTATTCACATTTGCACTTTTATAACATATTGTTTTATTTCATTTTAATTACATTCAGTCTAGAATCCGATTTTGTTCATTAAACACCTCTATTTTGTAACACAGTTTTTATTTTAAATAAATTATTTTTTAAAAACTACCTTACGGCATTTTTGAATTTAAGTTATATATATATTTAGTTTAGCCTCTAAATATTTATAGAGGTGCTGCAATAGGTTGTACAAAATAACCAGAAAAAGCCTATAATAACTAGATAGGAAAGTCATGTGTTGGACACATCAGATTTTTAGATTTGGCATACAGACTGCTGTCGCAACATTTGCGTTCACCGCATGCTAAACGCACAGGCGGCTGCCACATATAGTCGACACCGCCGATCATGTGCGACACCCGGCAACCTTGCAAGTCCAGGGCTAGGCGAGTGCCGTGTCAGGATTGCCAGGTTAGGGGATTTTCCCCAAAAATTAGGGGATTTTTCATCTTCTTGGGGATTTTTTGGGGTTTTTGTTTTCTAGGGGATTCTTCTGGGGAAAAACTATTGCGTTGGGGATAACAGGGGTTTTTTAAAATAATATGATATAAATAACAAAAAATATATGGCTTATTTATTATTGCATTGTACAAGTAGAGCCATCTATTTTTGCCGATTAAAAATAATTTAATACACTAGCAGTATAGCGAAGCCTACCCTACCGACCGCATAATTTGTCTTGAAAGACGTTGATATGAGAACCCCCTCTCGGGACCAGGATTCATCGATTCACATTTAGCGTTTGTCGACGAGTTGAGTTGAGTTGTATATAATACAAATATTGGCGAATAAGTACAGAAATATTTTGGAGCAAAATAGTGAATTAATGGGTAAGTTTCATCTTCGGTTTAATATTCGTATACCAATTATAATACATTTTTAATAGGATGGCTTATGTCGGACCTTGAAGACGATAAAAAGGGTTTTTGTAAAGTTTGCAAGTGTTCATTAATTGCACATAAGAAAGATCTTTTGTTGCACAGAAAATCAAGAAAACATCTTGAGTCAGAGAAAAAATATAACGCTGGTCCCAGCAAAAAATTACTGAGTTTTTGACGACTAATATTTCAAAGAAAAGAAAAGTCGCAGAATTGAAAATAGCTGCTTTCATTGTTCCACAATAACGGCAGATCATTTAAGTAAATTACTTAATAGTCTAGATGATAATTCCGAATTACTCAAGGGAGTAAAACTTCATCGAACGAAATGTACAGCCTTAATCTTAAATGTTATTAGTCCATGCTTGTTGGAAGATCTAATCCTTGATGTTGGAAATGAAAAATATTCTCTGATAATTGATGAAAGCACGGCCATCGACTGTACCAAAATGATGTGTCTTGTGATTAAATATTAACAAACTTAAAAGAAAAATAATTACGACCTTTTACAGATTAATGGAAATTACCGCAGGAGAAGCTTTGACATTAGCTGAAACAATGAGGAGTCGACTTCTTAAAGACAGTCTCCCAATGGAAAACTTAATTGGGATTGGCGTAGACGTTGCTAATGTCATGGTTGGAAAACACAATTCTTTTTTAACCGACTTCAAAAAAGGAGGAGGTTATCAATTCGTCGCGATATTTTTTTTTTATGTATGTTCAGCGATTATTCTTTAACACGGTTTCCGATTTCATGATTCTTTTTTTGTTAGAAAGGGGCTACTGTAGGGGTGGTCCCATATAAATTTTGTCAAAATCTAATAATTGTATCCATTAGAAAATCCTCAAACTCTTCATTTTTTATGTATGTTTAGCGATAATGCTTTACCACCTTGTCCGATTTATACGATTCTTTTTTTGTTAGTAAAGGGGTACCTCAGGGGTGGTCCCATATAAATTTGGTTAAGATGTGGCATCTGCACGTTTTTGAAGTCGGTTTTTTTAAATTTTTAATTTGTAATACTTGTCGACTCATGTAAAAGCTATGACAAATCGAGATTTAGTGGTAATTAAGTATGTTTGCCACTCTCTCTACTTGGCTGCTGAGCATTCTTTTAAATCACTTCCCAAACATTTAGCTTTTTTAATAAAAGAATCTCAAAAATGGTTTAGTTGCAGTTCTAAGAGTCAGATTAAATATAAAAAATTGTATAAAGTAATGAATGAAGCAGCGCCAACAAAAATTGATAAATTAAGTGGAACTAGATGGTTGGCACGTTTTAATTTCATAAATAATCTATTGGATCAGTGGGATGTTCTAAAACTGCACTTTTAGCTAACCAAAGATAGAGAAAGATGCTATACATCACAACAACTTTTTGAGATATTAGATGATAAAAAAAATTACCTGTACATGGTTTTTCTGAAGAGAACTAACTGCCTTTAATACAGCTTTCCAAAGTGAACAAGCTAATTCTCTTAAATTAATGGAATTTAAGCACTTGCTCAGGAATTACTTAAGTATTCTTATACCTCCAATGCGTCTTGAAAAAGTTCTTGCTAAAGATATATTTTCTTTCAATTTCAAGGACTACGTCATGAGCGCAACCATTATCAATTTTGGTTACTCATTTCATGAAGCACAAGTGGGAATAGAGAGGAACGATGTATCCTGCGTCCAAGAAAGGTGTAGACATTTTTTAATTGAACTTTGTTATCATATTCAATCTCGATTACCGTCCAACATTGAAGTTCTCGAAAAAATAAACTTGTTAACTCCTGAAAACGCGACGAGCCAAGTTAAAAGACCTAATATTACAACTTTAGCTGCCATTTTCCAATGCTGCTCTGGAAAGAACATTTTCACTTGCAAATCTGATTACAGAGAAGTTGCGGAACCGACTAGCAATTAGTAGTGCAGATTCCATAATTAGACTGCGGTTCCGTCTTATGAACAATGGTTGTATCAGCTTTGTGCTAAGTGAAAATATGTTAAACAAATTTATTGCTAATATGTATAATACTAATAAGGAAAATCGAGAAGAAAATGAAGCTATATTGAATATATTTGCCGAAATTAATAATTAATTATAATTCTTATAAGTATTATTATAATCTTATCAAGTATCTTCTTATTCTTATTATATTTTTATGTAGGTACCTATATAGTATATAGGAGACAAAATATGAGAGATTAGCAAATAAAAGTTGTTGATCTCCTTTACTTATTATGCTTCGTTCTTGCTGTATTACCTATCTATCTATTCCTTGTGAATTTGTAAAAATTATTTGGCATTAAATAAACTTCAGGAATGTAATTTTATTGTGATGCACTACATGTTTTGCGCATGCGTAAAAATAATTTGTATAATAAAATAATTCCTGATTTATTCGAAAAAATCAGCAAACAGACAAAAAAAATTTTGGGGATTTTTTTTTCAAAAGGCCGAAATTCAGGGGATTTTAGAATTTCGATTGGGGAATTTCAGCTGACCGATCTGGCAACACTGCAGCAGTGTTTGTGTTTTCGGGCCAGTATGGCTCAAGATGTCGTCAGAGAATGCAGCGAGTCCCTCGGGGGTCGTTCCAAGAGCGAAAAAACAAAAAACAAGTTACGATAGCCATTGCGGATTATCTAATGCTGAAGTACGTAATATTTTAAGTATTATGGACACTAATTCTCTTGAGAATAATGAAGAAAAACCTTTTGTGGACAGTGGAAGTGAGTATTTGCCTAGATCCGATAGTGAAAGCGAGGGATGGGTAAGCCAAGAAGATGATCTCGAAGAAGAAAACCAGGTCCAGGTCGAGACCAATAATGAAGAGAATTTAGACAACGATTCAGAGAATATTGAACATGTCGAAATAGTTTGGGGTCAATAAGATTTTCGGCCTACAAAGCACGTGTTTGACAATGCCAGTAGTGGTGTAAAGAATAAAAATCTATTGAACGAGACTCGGGAGGTAAACTAGTTTTTAAGTTTTTTTATTGACGAGCTTGCCACTATCATTGTATCCGAAACTAATCGGTATGCACGAGAACAACAAGCAAAGATATTGACGCTTAATATTTTTATATACCTAACTTTGCTAATGCCCCATATAAAAAAACGGACCTAAAGGATTACTGGTCAAAAGATAGTTTATTGCGTACTCCCGTTTTTGGTGAAAAAATGAGTCGCGATAGATACATTACTATACTGAGATACTTACATTTTTCCAACAATGCGGAAGGCGACCCAAATGATCGTATGCGTAAATTAGGAGTTGTGATAAACACGATAAAATCACAATTTCATAGTCAGTTTTACCCGTTTGAAAATCTCGTTATCGAAGAGAGCATGATTCTGTTCAAAGGTCGCCTTAGCTCTAAACAATATATCAAAACCAAGAAACACCGCTTTGGAATAAAGCTATTTGTTTTGTGTGATTGTGAAACGGGTTTTGTTTTAGATTTTGTGGTATATATTGGAAAAAATACTAACATACCACTAATCGAGGATCTTGGCTGATCTGGTTCGGTTGTAGTAAAACTTTTTGAACCATATTTGAACAAAGGGCATACTTTTTATAGTGACAATTATTATACTAGCCCCTCGCTATTAACTTATCTTTATAATCACAAAACCAATTCTGTCCGTCAAAATAGAAGACAGATGCCTGATTTTAAGAAAAAACTTAAAAGGGGTGAAATCGACTGGAAAAGTAGCGCAAACATGCTACTGAAATAAGAAGACGTGCAAACTGTAACTAAAAATGCGATACCCTATTGTCAAAGGAACTGGGGTATTTCTATCACTTTATCATTAATAACGGTAAAGGTCTATTAGCATGTTTTTTATTTTTGTTTTTAAAAGTTTTAAAATGACAAAACTACTGTAATAAAAACCAATATTTTATTATATAAATTTTATGCACGTTATAAGATAAAATATTATTTGAATTTCAATATATTTCTTCTCAGTGTATAGTATTTGTTACGCTCCATTAATTTCTCGGTGTATTATACCGGCCATTCGTCTCATACGACAAATTCAAGGTCACAATATGTTACCCTCCAAACTTTAAAGGAGCGACAGTTATTGTTGCTTCTCTGTAGTTCAAGAGACAACAGAGACGTGTAATTTAATAGGAAAAAGTGTTAGGTGGTCCATTTAAATTACATATATCACTTTCTTTCTCTTTTACATTGATCTTTACATATATTTATCTCCCTCCAATAAAACTAACACCAATTTAAGAGGTCGCTGATGTTGCTGGTTTTTTGACGTTGACGTATCGATTAAATCTGACAACTGACAATGTTATGAATGTTTTTATGAACGTGTGCATTTTATTAAAATTAATTTAATTTGGGCCCCGTTTATTTCTTTGAGTCTGATTTTGTTGTTTAATTTTCTTTGGGGGGGGATTGTTTATTTTTGCATGAAGCAATTTCTGGAACCAAACTCGCGTCTGTGTACACATTTCTTTCTAGAGGTAAGTAATTTCCAATTTATTAAGAAAACCACTGTATAATGTGTGTGTTTAATAATATATTACAAAATGGCTATAATTATTTTAGGTGAATTGGAACAGAAATCCATTGTTACAGCTACTTTTGTTCATTAAGTAGGTAGATGAATGTCTGGACAGCTTTAATGGTAGGACAAAGTTCCTACCTACTAGAAAAGTAAAATGTATACCGAGTAAAAAATCTGCACATGTAGTATTGGCAAAGGACTTTTGAAATGATTAGAGATTGGCTATTTCTTACATACATCTACCTCTAATAGCCACTCTAAAGGAAGAAAAAAATTGAATCACAAAAGGGCAGAATTTTAAATCAGGATGCATTGGAAAATAAATTTGGGGACATCAGGTCGGTTTTGGATTTAATTTATCCTGCAGAACAACCAGTAGTTTAAGTTGGATTTGCTATAACTTTATTAGAAGATTTCCTTGATAATAAATTGTAATATACCAATTGTTTCAAATGAAATTGAAAAAGAGTTAAATACGAAATTAGATTTTTCATGGGTAAAATGTTATATTCATTCAAACATTGTAAGGTAATCTGTAATTAAGGGAATGTGGAAAATAGGTATACCTTGGTGGTGTAAGAGACAGGTAAGGGGCAATGACAAAAAAAATTACAAAAATGTATTCATCTTTAAATAGTGTTTATTATTATTATTATTATTATTATTATTATTATTATTATTATTATTATTATTATTATTATTATTATTATTATTATTATTATTATTATTTGAGAGAATTATCTCAGGTTAACCTGGGTTATTTTTGCAGTATTCTGGGGTGCTGGTGCACCAACAGTATATGCTTGGATTCGGCTAATTTGTCTGTGAGCCAAGAAATCTTCGGACAATATGGCACGTGTCAAGCACGACAGATTTATTTATCTGTGTTAAGTTGTGTTTAACATTCAGTTGTTCTAGATGTTTTGTAAGTGTAAGTGGTACAATTCCAGTTGCAGATATTACTAGTGGGTGTATTTTAACTGTATTCACTCTCCACATTTGTTTGATTTCCGTAGCTAGTTCGAGATATTTATTAATTTTTGTAGCATATGTGGTTTGGATATTATGACTGAGGGGTACTGCTACGTCTATTATTGCTACTTCCTTCTTTAATTTATCAAAGACTACAATGTCTGGTCGATTAGCGTTGATGCGGATGTCAGTGCGTATTTCTCTGTCCCAGTATAGTTTGTATTGTAAGTTCTCTAATACAGGAACAGGATCGTATTTGTAGTAGGGTTTGTCATCATTAATCAGTTTAGAGTTCTTCGCTAGCTGTTGATGTACAATTCTGGCCACATTGTTATGTCTCTGAGTGTAGTCCATTGGTGCTAATGTTTGACATCCGCCTATAATATGCTCAATGGTTTCATTTGATGATCCACACCTTCTACATTTGTCAATGATATTTGGATCTTTCAATATAAACTTTCGGTAGTTTTTTGTATTTATTACTCGGTCTTGTATGGCGCCTATGAATCCGACAGTCTCAGCAAATAGAGTTCCCCTTAGATATAGGTTTGATGCTTCAGTATCAGTATTTTCGTGGAGCAGGTGATGTGCGTGAGTACCGTGCAGTTCTTTTTGCTTCCATCTTTGTATTTGGGACTGGATCAAAAATTTATTATCTTCAGGGTTATATTCAATATCACTTAGTTTTAAAGGCGTGCTTTTAGTATCTGCTTGACATACAACTCTGAACAAGGTGTGATTAGTGGATTTTTCATGGAAGTATTGTCTGAGAGACTTAATTTGCGATTGGTGAAGACGGTGGATATCTAGTACGCCTACACCTCCCACATCTGTCGGTAGTGATATTCTTTCTATAGCTGAGTTGGGATGGTGCATTCGATGTTTTGTTAATGTTACACGAGTCGTTCGACATATGGATTCCAGGTCAGTAGCGGACCATTTTATAATACCAAAGGAATATGTTAGTGTCGGTATGGCATATGTATTTATAGCTTTTACTTTGTTTGCACTGGTGAGGTTTGTTTTGCATATTGCTTGTATTCTTTTTTTAAAGTCGTCTATTAGCTTAACTTTAATATCACTGTGGTTGATTCCTCTAAGTTGCATGATTCCCAAGTATTTATAGTTGTCTCCTGGGCTAAGGCTTTCTATAACTTTATCGTTGTCCATATTAAAATGATTAGAACTATTTAAGGTCCCTTTTTCAAGATCAATTATTTTGCATTTATCTAGTCCAAATTCCATATGAATGGAGTCACTGAAAGTTTTAGTGATTTTTAGTAGAGTATTAAGTTTTGTTCTAGAATTTGCATATATTTTTAAATCGTCCATATATAAAAGGTGGGATATTTTGCAGTTATTGCCATGTTCGTTTTTAATAATAAAGCCATATTGCGTGTTGTTTAATGTTCGACTTA